ACACTGTCTTAACTGAGTTATTTGTTTGTTTTCAGTTGATTATCGTCTCTTTATGTTGAACTAGGGTTTCGACTCGATGAAAGACCAGTGCCGCATCCATGGGCGTACTTTGAGAAGGTATCATTTAAAACTTCGGCTTTCAACGTTGAATCTGTGTATATATGAGCCAGATGTATGATTTTGTTTCGAGCTTCACTTTCTTAGTTTGTAAATTATAGCTTTGCACTTCAATTAGGGCTTTTTGAAAATGTTACATTAACTAGGTTTGAAATTATAGTTGCCAATTTTATGAAGTTTAACATGTCACATTGGCCATGTCAATTATGATTCTTAGGATTATTTTGTGACAGAAAATGTAGTAAGAGTATGGTTCTAAGCAATCTTTTCTTCAACCTTTGATTCTAAGAAGTAGTCGTCCATTCGGGGGTGTCAATTAGAAATGGAATTCTAATACAGATAAGATTGGCACACAAATATAGAAATTGTCCAAATTCTTTTGTTTCAACTTCAGTTTCTTGCACTTAAATCAAGATGACATTTTGAAAGTGTTTGATGAATTAGATTTTTSTGGTTGTGATCATGTTAACTGAATTAGATGTTTAATTTAAACTCTCATCTGCTTTCAAGGAAGTTTCAGCAATCAACCAGGTGTAACAATGAGCTGAATTTGCTGATTTGTAGTACAAATGAACACATAAAAGATCTAGCAATAAAAATGTAATGATGCACATGTAAATTGAGGGCCTGCTTGGAAACATCTTAACGAGCTTAATGAAACCTCTATTCTCTTTATATTTCATCAGCAATTGATGGACAGAGTGGGTATGATTTGCCCTAGTAGACTTGAGAATGCTGAAAAATTTCTATGTTACTATTTCTAGCAGTCATCTGGAGCACAGGAAAGTCTGAATTGATGCTCTGTTCCGCTCATTGGTGAAGCACTTTGGAGGTGCATTGATGGCCCATGACATTTATTCAGAATTTGAAATTTTTGGATCTCATTTGAGATTTTGTGTTGCTCCCTTCTATCAGGGTCAGTTATGCATAACTGCATAAAGCTTAATTTTTTTCAACTCTACAATTGCTTAAACTTTAGGAGTTTGATCTTTTTGTAATTCTTCTATTAAAAATATTATAATTTGATTTTCTTTAATCGCCTTGTAGCTTGGTCATTTAACCTAGCTGGCTAGCATGTTTTTGGATGGTCGCCTCGCTAGAACTGGGGAGTTTGTTTGAACTTTTTCATGTAGTAGCACCACAGCACACAACTGTTAGAGATGGTGTGGTTTCTTGAAGACCACTAACATCATCGACTATGACTTCTGATCTTTTTGTATCAGAAAAATCGATTTAAATCTGTTTTACTTCTTATCTTTTTGATGATGCTAATTGCTTTAATTGAAGCCTTTGAAGTCTTGGAGATCTATTAGATATAGATCATACTAGTTATGATAGATATCATTGAGAAAAATCTTCAATTTATGAAGAGCGTCACCCATTGTTTCAGTTTTCCGGTTGTCTCAAAGAGTTTTGACATTTCTGTATCTCAAGAGGGAATAAATATAGGATGGTAGGTCTTCCATCTGATCTTATAAAAAACATATCGTTAGAGTATGAAATGTGACATTTCCTTCTGGGCCTGCTGCTAATTTGGGACAAAATGAAAGACGAAACTGCATGTTTGAACTAAAGGAAATTTATTTTCTTATGAAGATGTAATGATACTGCTTATCTTGCAATATTCTTCCGTTAAGAATGCTTGTAACTAATGTCGACACTTTTGTGTTCCATGGCAGGGTGGTTTTCCAGTTTACCAATTCTGTGAAGATGTATCAGAACCCCACCATGCTTATAAGCTGCTGCAGCAAACGGCGTACCTTGAATTTCCTAATAGGGTTTGTATTAGGTGAAACATTACTWTCTTGTCGGACTTAATTTTGTGATGTTGGATTTAGCACATATTATGACCATTAAATATCATTTTGCAGAAGAGTTGAAACCTGAATTTAACTGCCGGCGTGTTACGTGATCTTAATGGCTATAAGTATATTTTCTGTTTCCCTCAATCTCACTCATATTGACATGATTTGTATATTTTGTAAGGGTGTCCGGGCCAAAGCCCGACTAATCCCCGGCAAATTTGGAGGCTAAACATGATTTGTATATTTGATTGTTTGCATTGGCAATTTGAAATAGGGTGTGATCGGATAGGTTCCAAGTTCTAACAGACATGAATTCAACTTGTTTGGTATTTTGTATTCCTCAGTGCTACTTTTTTTCGGTACTTTTAAGTTCTAATGCTATTGTATTAACATCATGCCAAATGCTTTTTTTTTGGAAGTATATAATATTTATATTTGACAATTGAAACTCACATACTTCCATGTTTGGTGATTTTAGAACCTTAAAAAAAATTGAGAACCGAAACCGGAACCGGAACTATTCTCAATCGGTTTCGTATTCTAGGAACCGGAACCACTCATATCGGTTCCAGTTCCGGAACCAGCAATTCCGGTTCCGCTCACCCCTACCTTCAACCTTTAGGAAGGTTGGTTATCAATTAATCACACAAACTTTAGACATTTTAACCGGTAGATGCGGCTTCTAAAAGAATTGATAGTAGTTTTGGCGAATTTGGGACTTGTGAAACCCAGATCTCAAAGTCATTAGATTCAAATTTAATGTGCAGGTTAGGAATAATGAGTAACTGTGGATGCATGAGATACAAGTCAGTGTAGGAGATTTTGGGTAAATTTTTTGTTTCTAACATATTTTTTCAACTTTTTTTTTCAAATTGAAGAAAGTAGTAGATTTAGGGGACGTTTACCAAAGACTTATCCAGTAAACGCTTACCGGTAAAATTAATACTTACCGGGTAAGATTTTAGTCCACGAAAACGGTATCGCATGCATCAATTTACCCGATAAGCGCTTACCGTGGTAATAGTCGTCACCCTCACTTATAGGGTAAGGCTCTTGGTCCTTGTCTCACTCTTACCGGATAAGATTTTTGGTTCTTACCGTATTCACCCGGTAAGGTAATGTGTCTTACTAAGCGTCTTACCCGGGTAAACGTTTGATAACGACCCTTTAGTATAATTTTTTTCAAATTTGAAGAACTTTCTAAAAATTAATATCATTAGAGGTAAATATATATTTATACTGTATTTACATCAATAAGGAATTTTGAAATTAAATAGTTGAAAAAGAAAAAAAAATTGTATTAAATGATGGAATATTTTAATAATATAATGAACCTTTTAATATCTGAAATACAGAAATTGTCGGAGTTTAATGTAATTATTTTCTTCTAGATTTTGAATTTTAATTTTCTATTTTGAAGAATTTGTTACAGATGCTTTTAGTGGTTAGTACTGAACTACAAAGAATATTACAATTATTCATAATATCAACATGATGAATTTTTTTAATTGTATTTACCAATCAACAACGACAATTGTGGAACTCTCATGCTTCGATATTTTCTTTAAATTGGGTTTGTTCATAGAAACCGATCTAAAATTTGTACATAGGTGAAAATGAGAATGTGTACGTTGTAGCTTATTTATATCTTAGCCTATGAACTAAATCATGGACGGACCTACTATAGCGCATACGGTGGCACGTGTTACCGTATTATTCATCCTTCGAAGGATAAAAAATTTAGGTTCGTGAAATGTGCAACCGTATTAATTTATTGTGTGTCATCATATGTATTTTGAAACTACAATTAGAACAAGTTTTATTTGGTAAAGTTGATTTGCAAGACTTTTATTCCACCCCAAACCCAAGTTCGAATCCTCTTAATGTTATTTTCTTAGTCAAATGATGTCATCATTTGGAGAAAAAAAATCCGTATAGTGTCACCAATTGAAAATTTTCCCTATATTTTTTTCTTTTAGTCAAATAGCAACGTTTGAAAAAAAAAATCTGAGTCCATCCCTGAACTAAATATACGTCAGTTAAGTTTTCCAATATGGTTTCTTTGATCACTTTTTTTAAGGATACGTCGATCATTTTTGTCATACTAATTAAAGAGTTCATTAAAAAAATCTTGCTATGAAAATAAGGGTATATATCGAAACCATACATTTACATTTTAAATGTACATAATACGAATACATGAATTATTGACTAAATATATACGCAGAAAACCAACTTTACTGCAAAAAGACTACCATGTAATTATGATATGATAATTAGTGGGTTTCATCAAGCTTGGTTGGGTTGATGCAAGCCCAATCATATTTCGATCCAACCGTGTCGGTCTGTAAAATTTAGCAGGGGTGTTTAAGATTGCTTATTTAAAACAAATTCTGATTTTTGTAAAATTGTTTATCAATTTATGTTGTATCAAACTGGAGTTTTATAAAAGTGTTCGAATTAGCTTATGGTGATAACAAAACGTAATAAGCTGATAAGCAATTTTTTTCCATCCAAACACTAAAAACTCTTTATTACTAGTACCATACTGAAATAAGTTAGAATATAGTAACTTATCAAAAACTCCTTATTATCAGTGTCAAAACAATATATGTGTTTCTTTTTTTTTTCTCATCCAAACACTTAAAACCCTTATTACCAGTATCATACTTGAATAAGTTAATAAACACTTTAAATAAGCAATCCCAAACACCTCCTATAACACAATTGGTTTCTGTTAGCTCTTTATTGAGTTTGTCAACTTATGGATAGTCACTCCATCGGGAGTTTGTGCAATCTCGTACCTATTAAGTGAGCCTTACCTATGGTTATAAAGTGTATTTTTTTTTTTTGGCTTTTAGCTGGATTCGCAATTATAAATATGGGTTTTGTGAATCTATAACTATTTTGATAAATTTGAAGAGAAAATGACTAGAAAATGAAAACAACCTGGAAAAATAATATTTTAATAAAATTTCCATACAAATTTCCGAAGCGTTTGATTCGATTGCTGAAAATATAAAACCATAAACAGTGAATTGAGTTGGACTTGAAGTCAGCTCAACCCACACCGACCAGAAGAACAACTTTTGGTTGCTTCATATATGGGAGTTCACCATCTACAATCGTCCCTTCGGGGACATCCGATAAAATTGGAACGATACAGAGAAGATTAGCATGGCCCCTGCGCAAGGATGACACGCACAAATCGAGAAATGGTCCAAATTTTTTTTTGCCCAATTTTCCTATCATCGTCTTCGCCAAAACCCTCTTTTCCATGGTAAATTCATCAATGTCCGGCAATGTAAGCATCGACGTACGTTTTCAAATGAAGATATATTCCCACGGTGAATTCATCAACGGTCCACAGTGTAAGCAGCGGATTAGTTTTCACGTTGTGGTCACCGATCTATTTTTACTTCCACTCGGTTGATTATCGTCTCCTTATTTTCAATGAGGGCTCCAACTCGATGAAAGACCAGTGCCGCAGCCATGGGAGTATTTTGAGGAGGTATACATTAAAGCTTCGGCTTTCAAACGTCTGCTTGAATCTGTATGTATATGAGCAGATGTATGATTGTGTTCCAAATTTCTCTTTCTTCGGCTTTCAAACTCCAACCTTCACGCTAAAAAAAACACCAAATAAGTGGGCCGTTAACACCAAAAAAATACTCAACTCCAACCTTTTGCCGTCCACCTCTTCCACGGCAAATTTGCCGTTCATTTCCTTCCTCGGGCAAAACTTTGGTGTTTTTGGCGTGCGATTGGATCCAAAAGAACGGCAAAATTAGGGTTTTGCCGTTCGATTGGAGTTGCTTACATCTGTGTATGCTTTGCTCTTCAATTATGGCTTTTGAAAAATGATTTATGAACTAGGTTTCAAATTATGGTTGCTAATTTTCTGAACCTTAACATGTTACATTGGCCAATCTCAATGATGTTCAGGACGATTTGCACAGAAAATGTAGTAAGAATGATGATTCTATGAGAAGTGGTTGAATACCAACTGAAATCGACATGCAACATATGGATCTTACTTTTGATTTCTTCAACCATTTTTGGCAAGTAAGTATGATCTTTGCTTCCTTTTCTTCAACCTTTGATTCTATGCAGTAGTTGTCCCTGCAAGGATGTCAAAATAGAATTTGAATACTAAGTGGCCGTTTACCAAACACTTACCCGGTAAGTGCTTACCGGCAAAAATTAACACTATTATTTACTTACCGGGTAAGATTTTAGTCTATCAAAACAGCATCGTATGCAACAATTTACCCGGTAAGCACTTACCATGGTAAGAGTCGTTACCCTCACTTACCGGGTAAGACTCTTGGTCCTTGTATTACTCTTACCGGGTAAGCTTCTTGGTCCTTACCATATCTTCATTTGATGTTTAATTTAGATACTCATCTGCTTACAAGGAAGTTTCTGTAATTAACCAGGTGTAACAATGAGCTGAATTTGCTGATTTGTAATAAAATTGAACACATAAAACAACTAGCGATAACAAATTAATGATGCACGTTTATTTGCAAACTTAATGAGCTTAATGGTCTAGACGGCTTATTCACTCAACCATGCATGAGTGTGTTTTTACGGCTTAATTTTAAGCCATTAAGCCAAAATGATTGTATAGAATAAGTGAGGACCCCTCACTTGTCCCAACTAAGCCATCTCAAACAAATTAATATCATAAATATCCCTCCTTTTTGCCTCCCTCAGATCCATTGGTCTTCCGTCCCTGAGATCAGAGAAATAACGGAAAAAAATGAACAACCTCTAATCTACCATATGAAATATGACCTTTCCTTGTGTGATCTTAATATATTTCGTTTCTCTTAGTCTCTCATACATTGCAAAGATTTGTATCTTTGATTATTTGCATTGGCAAATTGAAACAGTGTGTGATCAGATGGGTTGCAAGTTCTAACAGACATGGATTCAACTTGTTTGGTATTTTCTATTCCTTGGTGCTACTTTTTTTGATACTTCTAAGTTACGACGTTATTGTATTACCATCATGTTGAACGAACATGTTTTTATCATTTTTTTCTCATGGTGTAGTATCTGACAAGTTGGCTCGATTCGTCCATTGGAGACATGTAGAGTGCCTTTCTTCCTTCACAGTACGAACAAACTTTGGATCTTCCGACCAGTAAATATGGTTTCCATCAAGCTTTAGCTTGGTGTTCTAAGTAAAAATGTTGTTTTTGTGTCTAATTTGAATGTGTGCCCATAAATCGTTGTATTTATTAAATCTTGCACAAATGTTGTCTTCATGCATTAGGGGTCGTTTACCAAACACTCACTCTGGTAAGCATTTACCAAGTCATATTACCTTACGGGATCAATATGACGAGAATCAAGAATCTTATCTGATAAGAACTAAGACAAAGATCGAGATTATTACCCGGTAAGTGAGGGCGGCAACGCTTACCATGGTTAGCATATGACACATTTTTTATGGATTAAAATCTTACCCGCCAAGTAAGTAATAGTGTTGCATTTTGCCAGTAAACACTTATCCGAGCGGATAAACATTTAGTAAAAGACTACCTAATTGAATCGTGTAAAAATTGTGGCATGGGTTCCTTTATGTCCATGATGAGAGAGAGAGAGAGAGAGAGGTAAATTGTGGTGTTGCAGGTGGATTCAGGGAGCACCTTTGTGTGAAGAATTAAAACATGTCCGAAATAAGATGGTTTAATGTTTTTATCAAGACAGGTCAGATGAAATAACTTAATATTAAATAAAATGTTTTAATGATTTGTATTGATGGATAAAGATCATTAAGAATGAGTAAAAATGTGTCATGCCTGATGACCAATCCTCTTTCATAGAGTCTCCCCTTATTAAGTGAGTGGTCCCTTGTAATCAAATAATTGATAGATCCATTTGGATTAAAATCTATCATCTTTCCAAACTTCTTTCATAATAAATACCCGAAAATAATCCAACAAACTTTTTTATTTTGAATGATTTTTTTAAATGAAAAAACCATTAAATTTTCTTATTTTAAACAATTAAGTTCTTGAACTATTTTTTTGAATGAAAAACCATTAAATTTTCTATTTTTGAATAAAAAATCATTAAACCTTTTCATTTTGATTGATTAGATATCTGAACATTCATTTAGTAAATAAATCACTGCACTTCTAAAAAGTGGGTATTTTAACTCGAAAAAATTACATTAACCGACTAATAAAAGTTCGGTAATTTATTTATTTTTTAAAAAAAAATCAAGGTCTCAATCATTTAAAATGTGAAAATCTAATGATTTTTTAAATCAAAAAATAAGTTCAAAATAAAAATATTTAATGGTTTTTTCATTAAAAAAATCGTTTAAGAATCAACCATTCAAAATAAGAAAGTTTATTGGACTTTTTAAAAACATTTCTTAATTACGAGTATTTATTGTGACCACAATAATGCAAACAAATAAATTGCCATCAATGGGGATATTAATGTGAATATTAATCAATTCTGTTGTATTTATTAATAACGACTTAGACAGATGATATTAGAAGATTTAGTCAAAAAAGAAACGTGTAACCAATTTAAAACTTGGAAATTGAATGTTTACAATTTCTCAATTGGTTTTTTTATTATTATTATTATTTAATTTATTAATTATTCATGAAATTTAAAAATAAAAAATAGGACTAAAAAATGTTAGGGGTTGTTTGGTTCATTTTTTATTAAGACATGTATAGATAAAGTTGTTTGTATTGATAATATTGTCTATATGATAACATATAAAATTATTATTCGGTTGTGTATTTAATAAACAGTCTGAATGTCATGAATGACCATTTTACCTTCGATCTATATTTTTGTTTGATAAAATATTGGTTGAATGACTTTGAATGATAAATATATCAATTTATAAGTTTATTAAACCTAACTCCAAACAATTTCATCTCCAAATATATCAAACCAAAATCTAAACCGTTTCATCAACATCCTCCTCCTCTCTCACTCCACCATTGCTGCTTCATTGCAGAGACGATTTATGAGATGGAGGAGTAGGGCAAAAAACTTCGAGTGCTGAGAACGGACCAACAATGGCACTGAGAATAAGAGGGCTGGTTGGTGGAGTGTAGAAAGAAGAACAGACCAACCATGGCAGGTCTTTTTTTAGTTGTTCTTTTTATATAAAAAGAACAAGGTAGTTGAAGAAACTTATGGATGAGTGTAGAGGACAAGTGAATTCTAGTTGAGCGAATAAGCTATTGGCTGAGTGAATAAGCCGCAACCAAACACCTATTGATGGCTGAGTGAATAAGCCATATAAGCTATACAACCTATTAAGCCAAAACCGAAACATGCCTAGCGGCCCAACTTGTTTTACCCACGTTAAAATTTACCAGTTTTGAGCAATTATCTTATATGTCTGACTTGTCGATTTTGCATACAATGAATTTTTAAAGTTAATGGATAAGTAGAAGTTGCATTTGAGTCAAAAAGGAAACCATCTCGAATGAACGAAAACAAGAGAAAAACAAATATTGAACAATTGAGTCTAAGTCTTGGATTGAAACTCACGTACTTTAAGTTAGAGGTTGTTTATTGAACACGTAGTGGTTCTTAATGGGTGACAGATGTTTACTCGATCAAAGATGGTGATGTTAACCGACGGTCTCACTGAACCAAATCTTATCTGGTAAGTGAGAGTGGTGATCTTTTATTCGATTATCACTTATCCAATTTTTGTTGTTAAACGACTCTTTAATGAATAATGTGGACTATATTATGTTGCAATCAATTTTAAATAATGGAAAAAAAGACGTATCCATCAGAGAAAAGTTTAAAAAGACCCAACAAACTTTTCCCCAACAAACTTTTCCATTTTAAATGATTTAGACTCTAAACTAGTTTTTGAATAAAAAAATCATTGAACTTTTTTATTTTGAATGATAAAATCCCTGAACTACTTTTTGATTGAAAAACCATGGTACTTTCTCTTTTCAAAGGAAAAATCATTTAACCTTTTCGTTTTAATTGATTAAGTCCATGGATATTTTTTAATAGATAAATCATTATACTTTTAAAAATTGGTTATATTCTTTTAACCGAAAAAAATTATATTAACCGACTAATAAAAATTCAATGATTTATTTATTTAAAAAAATCAAAATCTTAATCATTTAAAATGTAAAAGTCTAATAATTTTTTATTTAAAAAGAATAGTTTAGAAACTTAATCATTCATTCTTTTCATTTTAAAAAATAGTTTAGAGACTATTTGTATTTTTCCGTATCCCAAGGATGGTTTGAGAAATTTTCCTTTTTTTAAATAAACCTGTTATTTTTTTTTATAATTAGTTTATTTATTAAAAATATTTAATTTATGATTAACTTCAAACAAAATTCTAAGTTATAGATTTTAGTCATATTTAATAAATATTATCTTTTAATGTTTGCATATTTTTATTTATTAAAAACTATGGTAACTATTCATTTGGACGGTATGTATATATATATATACAGGTAACTGAAGTTGTTTCTTGATTTTTATGTACATGCACATGTGCATATAAGCAAATTGCTTAAATATACCAGTATATGCATACCGTCCAGATAAATGATTATCAGGATGTTCCTTAGTTTTTCAGTTTTTACGTTTTTTTTCCTAATCCTATCCTGATATATATATATATATATATATATATATATATATATATATACTTGAGATCATGTGAGACCAAGACTTTTTCGTGAGACCCGTAAGACCAATTCTCAACTCTTGAATTAGATCTACAATCGTCAGATCTGAACATTCACAAACGCCATGAGACTTCTCAATAATTACAAAATTGCCACCGTGCAATTTAGACCATTAAATCTTTAACTTATAAAGTTGATCAATGAACATAAATTGGTCTTACGGGTCTCACGAAAAACCCTTGATCTTACGTGAACCCAACCCTATATATATATATATATATATTTTTTTTTTTTCAAATACAACCTATCGCATTTGTACAACCAATGCAACCCAATAAATTAGGATATTTATGGAAATGATGAAAGTTCATTTATTATGATTTGAATATTTATGGAATATTAATATGGTTCAATAATTATGATCAATACTTTATATTAGGAAACAATAAAAACTTCTATGAAATAACATATTAATCAAATGAAATGGACGGT